GGGCGGAGAGGAGGTGGGAGGGGAGGAAATGTTGCACCCAAATAAATACACATCCGTGTGTGTGTGTGTGTGTGTAGGCTTGGGGGGAAGCGCAGGACACAGCAAAGCCTCTGCCCCACGCGAGGGCTGCTGGGCACGTCCCTGCACGGGGGTGCCACGGGCCGGGCAGCGGCAGCACCCACGAGGCCGCCCCGGCACCGCGCACCCACGGGCTCCCTTCTTGGCAGAGTGGCCGCCCCGGGGCGCCGGCACGGACCATGATGGACCTGAAGGTGGACGAGGAGGAGGTGGACAGCGGGCAGCCGGTGAGCATCCAGGCCTTCGCCAGCAGCTCCACCCTCCACGGGCTCTCGCACATCTTCTCGTACGAGCGGCTGTCGCTGAAGCGCGTGGTCTGGGCGCTGTGTTTCCTGGGCTCGCTGGCGCTGCTCGCCCTCGTCTGCACCAACCGCATCCAGTACTACTTCCTCTACCCCCACGTCACCAAACTGGACGAGGTGGCGGCCACCAGGCTCACCTTCCCCGCCGTCACCTTCTGCAACCTCAACGAGTTTCGTTTCAGCCGGGTGACCAAGAACGACCTGTACCACGCCGGCGAGCTCCTCGCCCTGCTCAATAACAGGTGGGTGCTGGTGCTTTGGGGTGGCCCCAGGGGACATGTCCGTGGCCCCGGCCACCACACCTCGTGGGGCAGCGAGTGCTGGACAGTTGCGCTCTGGGCGGCGCCTCCACAGCCTCCGTGAGGAAGCGGATCCTGAGTTAGTTCAGCTCCGCAGCTGGATGCGGCCACTCTGTGGCGACACCGGCAGCCGAGAGCCACCGGGTCCTGCCACTGCTCCTGGGTACGGGGTCCCACGCTGGGCTGCCCTGGGTGGGTCCGGCACGTGTGGCTCCTGGCCCCGGTGCGTGGCATGTGCCGCAAGGCCAGGGCCGCCCTGGGACACCCGCGGGGCAGATGCAGCACCCACAGCCCCGACGCCACGTCCTGGGTGCTGGACACGCGCAGCGAGGCCGGGGATATCGGCGGGTGAAGCCGCTGAGCATCTCCCACCTGCCAGGAGCCGGGTTGGCGCCATTCCCTGGGCCGTGGGTCTCCGCAGCGGCGGGGTCTGTGGGGAAGCCCCTCGCACGCCCTCCCCAGCTTCTTGGTGCCACCAAGCCACTGCCGTGATCCCGGTGCCACCAGCAACACGCGGTCCCTGCCTGTGCCGTTTGCTGAGGGGCTTCACTGCTGCCCCCTCTCATGCCCCAGGGAGGGGTTTGGAGCCACAACAATGGGGGCTGAGACCCAGCACACTCAGCCCACGTCCCAGCGAGGCCACCAAAGGCACGGGGCAGGCGGCTGGGCTGGTCTCGACCAGGGCCGGTGCTGCTGGACCAGCTCTGGGGCAAGTGTGACGGGTTTGGTGCCCATCTTCTCCTCCTCGCCCGCTCTCCTGCCACCGCTCACGTGCCTCTGGGCCACTTTGTGCTGCTGAATGCTCGGAAAACGCCACGTGCAAAGTGCCTGGGACTCTGCTGAGCCCGCGCCGGGGCTGGGGCAGGAGTAGCTCGTGTGAAGCCCAAAAGGGTTTCACCGGCGGGAGCAGCCACCATGGCCAGGCCTCAGCTTCTGCCTCCTCTTCCCCCTAAGATACGAGATCCCAGACACCCAAACGGCCGACGAGAAGCAGCTGGAAATCCTGCAGGACAAGGCAAACTTCCGAAACTTCAAGCCCAAACCTTTCAACATGCTGGAGTTTTACGACCGGGCTGGCCACGACATCCGGGAGATGCTGCTGTCCTGCTTCTTCCGCGGGGAGCAGTGCACCCCCGAAGACTTCAAAGTGGTGAGTGCCCCCGCGGCCCCGGCCTAAGGTCACATTTTCCCCTGTGCAAGGAGGGTGTTTGTCCCCCCCCGCAGCCGCTGCTGCCTCCTCTCAGCTCAGAAAGGACCGGCAGCATCTTGGCTAAGGGGATGCCAGGGATGCCGCTGGCTGTTCGAGCTCCCCAGGAGCACGTGCCGCTCGGTGCGGCTGCACGGGGGGCTCCCGCGTGGGCAAAGCTCCCCGGGATCACTTGGGCTCCGCGAAGGAGGGTTGTGCGTGCCGGGCTGGAAACACCGCGCTGGAAACTGCCGCGGGATGAGGAGGCACCGGTGGGAGAGCAGGGCCGTCGGGGAGCCGAGGGAGCCCCGCAGTCCCTCGGGGGGGCAGGTGCCGGTGGCACGGCGCGGTGTTGTGCCCCACCACGGAGGTTGCGTCTCGTGCTGGTGCACGGATCCAGCGCACAATAAAGCCTTTATCCCCCCGCGGCTGCCTCTCCCCCCCGTCCAGCTGGGAATTAAACAGTGCCGGCTATTCGGGGGCTGCCTAATAAATTCGGCTCCAGCGTGGAGCCTGCAGCTCTGTGCTGTTCGGGGTCCCCGTCCTCATCCCCAGGGGTGTCCCGCTCGTGTCCCGCGGCGGGACGAAGCCGCCGAGCACGCGCCGGCACCGGCTGGGAGCCTGCGGAGCTGCTGCCCAGGTCCCAGCACAATTCGGGTGATTTTAATCATCTGCATTAAATTCCCCTGACAGGCTCTTTACATGGAGCCGCTCTCTGTTGTCAACCGTCGGGCGTTTTAGTTATTAAATGGAGGCAAGTTGCAGCCCGGAGGGGGCTGGATCCTCTCCAGCGCAGCCGGGGAGCAGGGCCGGCTCCCAGCCTGCGTGTGGCCACTGGCCGGTTTCGGTGCCGGGCTCTTCCCGGTGCCTGGTTGTGTTTTCTGCGCCGAAGCATCCTCAGGGATCCTCATCCCGGGTCCCAGCCTTCATCTCTCGGGTTCCAAACACCCGACTTTCTGCATCCCCTCTGACCGGCAAAAGCAAAATAGACTCACAGCTGGTTTGTTATTCCTGCCTGGATTATTCGTTGCAAGCAGGTTGGGATGATTTAATGGATTTGATTAGAAAAAGCCGCCTCTGTGCTACATTTCTGTTGCTCTTTGGATTCCCCTTGCAGCCTGGCACAGGCAGGGCTGGGGCTGGTGCTGCCGGCGCGGGGGCCCCGTCCTGCTGAGCTGGGTGGGAAGCCTTTGCCCCGTCCCTGCGCGGGGGTCCCGGGCTTGGAGAGGGGTTTGTCTGACGGGTGAATTCCTCGCTGCTGCCTCCTCCCAGCTCCGACCGCGGCCGCCCAGGCTGAGCCAGCCCGGGGCTGCTCTGGGCCTGCGGGCACCGGTCAAGGCTGGGGGGGGGCCGTGGACCATCACCCAGTGACTCACCATCACCGCGGCTCGTGCCGCCCCGCTGCGGGTGCTCTGTGTTTCGGGGACCCCCTCGCACCGCCCAGGCTAAGGGGGTGCCCCGAGCGGGGCTCTCGCAGCCGGCGCTGCCGCTCTCCCCCCGCGGGCCCAGGGCAGGCGCCGGCTCCGGCGATGGCCTTGGCCAGGG